GTCAGAATTTAATTTCTCGAAATTCCATGAAATTAAATAATTAAATATAATTAAAATTAAAAAAAAATAATGTACCAAGATTTTCTAAAATAATCTTTTTTAATCTTTCAAAAAACATTTCTTAAATAATTTAATTAATTTATGAATAAGTCCAGAAAGTTTAATTAAAATCCAACAATTATTTGATTATTTAATCATTTCTAAATTAATGTGTTTTCAGCGAAAAAAAAAAAAAAAAATGAAAACGCTAAAATTTCATTTACTAATCATTGGTCACTCTGTTGATGCAAAAAAAAAAAAAAAAGATGTTTAACTAAAATTTCGAACGTTCGATTAATAATCACAAAATCCCGTGGTTTTTCTTTTTAATAACAATGTAAAAATTGTGACGTTAAAAGATTATTTTTATTAAGTTTGGGTCATTTTTTCATCATGGTATGCTAAATTTTTAGCGAATCAGTGGAGGCACTTAATATAATATTTATATTTAAATTCCTCGAGCTTTCTTCTTCTTATATATATATTCGAGAAAATATTTTTACTTTATTATCTGTAATCATTGCTACAAGAAGCACACACAAGCACACACACACACACACACATATATATATATATATATATACACATGTGTGTGTATTTGGTCGGGAAAACAGTAATTATTAACCATGTTTCATGTTACTAATTACAAGAACAGCAAAGAAAAAAGTGAAAATGAAAGTAGATGAAAGGAATTATGGCAATAAAATTTATATACCTTAAATGAATTTAATTTAGAAAGAAAAAACAGTTCTTATTTAAATGAAAAATAACAAAGCTTCTAGAATAAAAACACAATTTTATATTGTCATTTTATTTTATATCTTTTATACGCCGTGTTATTTGGGGCCGTAGGCGATCATGTCTCTCCACATCTTCCCGTCTTTTGTAGTTATAAGTATTATTTGTGTCCTTACTATCCTTCACCGTATCCACTTTGCAATCCTTTTATCCAATTTCCTATTAGTGCTAAAGTCTCTAAGACTTCATTATTTATCCCAGAAACGCTAAAATAAGTTAATTCTTCTTCTGATTGTAAGCATGCATCCCTTTTGTTCCCATTTTCCTTAAAACATCCTCATTTTTCACATATTCCGTCAATGGTATTCAACGCAACCTTCTGTACTCATTTTTTAGTGGCATATCAACCTCCACCGGTTATTTAATGCCGAAATCTAAATATTTTGAACGCAAATTTTATTTTATTTATTTTTAGATAATAATGGTTTTAGTGATACAAGTTTTACTAATGGCTGCGGGGGGGGAGGTAGAAGAAGTGGATTCCTACATTTCCCAAGGGTATTTGCACGTAAGTGAATATAACGAACCCAATTGGAACTAAAAGTCGGTTCTCCGATTAACAATTCAGAGTCCTTATTCATTACACCACCTGCACATCCAAGCATACAAGCGATCACACATCTAGGTACTTACCAGGCTCAACATTTCAAATCTTTTGTGGAAGCCGTAATCTCAGTTGCTTCAAGTGTCATCTTCTGTGTTGAAATGGTACAGCATGCAGTGTTGTATAGGAAGATTGATATTACATAGCAGTTCCAGCCTTTTTTTTTCAGTTCTGACCAAATGTTCCTATCTCTAAATATTTTTTTTTCTGCAAGCCATCTTTCGTGCCTTCGTATTTCTGTGTCATGATTTAAAAAAAAAAACATACATACTATTACATAGATATGACATATATAAATATATATCACCTCGGCTGAAAAAAAATAAAACAAAAAAACATTTTAGTTGAGGAATGACAAACTCTTCAAATACTAGGATCTGGAAATAGAAGTTACATTAATGTGATAGTCAAACACGATCATGATACCAGTAGTATTATGAGTATGAGGAATGATACACACATTAAATTGTAGGAAATCAACCTTTATCTGAAATACAAATTATTGTTAAATTAATATTTAGAAAATCTCAATTAATAATTTAAATCGGAAAAACTTCATTAACTTTAGGTTAAAGACTTTGTAAATGATTGCATAAAACAGAATATCAAAATGAATAAACAGCAACAATAGCAACAACAATAACAACAACAACAACAATAATAATAATAAATAATAATAATAATAATAATAATAATAATAATAATAATAATAAATTGTACTCACAAGTACAGCTCACATATTACGAATATCTTTATGTAAAATGTGTGCGAGCTTAGGTGTTTTTTGTTGTTTTTTTTTACTAAAAATTATCAGTGGAAGATGACATGAAGCCATTTCTGACCTTAGGTCTCTGGTTGGGTCCCAGAAGCAAATGTATATGCAACAGAAATCAAAGGAAATAATAATAATAATAATAATAATAATAATAGTATAATGAAATCGGGAATGGTGACTAATTAATAACACAAGGTTTTTCATATTAAACATATTTTATTTCATTCCAGTACTAGATCAATTACACTCGGTCAGTATGTCTGTCATCGGCTCCGTCAAATCGGGTCCGATACATGGACCTTATATTCTCATGTGCGATCTCTGAGAGACTTCTCAACCCTTCTCCGGTTTGTTTGTTTATATCTATCACTTGAGTGCTTGTCGTTTCCACGCTTGCAAGGCGGAATGCAGCTGTGAGGTCATGCTTCTTCTTTTGGTCGCCGGGAGTTTACCTTAAGTCAACACTGCAACTGGTTTTCTTGATCTGTTGTGAAATCGAGTGAAGAGCCTATTCCGACATAACATAAGAATGACATAATAGAATATTACGCATAAAAACCAAAAAGTGATGACAAGCCGATTTATATTTAATACATAAGTCGCCTTGTCATCTTTTCAAATGAATCCTTTTTGCAGCAACGACAATGATAATAGGAATGAAACTGTGACAGCATCATCATCATCATCATCATCATCATCATCAGCAGCAGCAGCAGCAATGGCGGCGGCGGCGGCAGCGGCGGGATAGTCAAAATTAACCATAATGAGAATTTAAAGCGGATTTCCAATCTAGACAAGTAGTTCCAATAAACAGTAAGAAGAACATTTCTAAGAGAATAAAAATTACCGAATAAAATTCAAAGAAGTGAAAAACTGGACAAATATCTACACTTGAGAATTGAAAGAAAAATGGAGGTGACAGTTATGTTTTTTGGTGCGTTTTGAATAGTCGTAAAGAGCTTAGTTGTAAAGAGTCTAGAAATAAAAAAAAGAAAATAGAAATCATCAACAGCATCGATAAAATCAGTGATACTACCGAGGAGAGTTCGGAAATATTGATCAGACTTCCTATTACTTGAAACCACTTACTTTTTCTGGTGTGAAAATTTAATGAGTTCAAATGATAAAAATAAATGACAATTATTATTTCTAAGGATTGATTTTCTTCTCTTTAATTAATTAATAATAATAACAATAATATTATAAACTTCTTTTATGCACCGTGTTTCTTCAGGACATTAGCAATCATGGCTATCCACAACTTCCAGTTTTTTGCAGCTCTAAGCAATGTTTGTTCTTTTACCAACGATCCTAGTACACACGCTGCCTTCTATTGAGATAACTGCGTTATATATTCGATTTCCCCTCTGCTCCCCTTGCCTTCAATATATCCCTGTGTGTATTAAATTCTCCAAGCCCTTCTCCCTCATTATGCGTATCAGTGATATCAACTGTCTCTTTTTTTATTGTAAATGTAAGTTCTCTTTTGTCGCCCATTTTCCTTAAAACTTGCTCATATGTTCCGTCCATAGTATTCTCAGTATCCTTCTGTAGAGTCACATCTTTGTATCATCAAGTTACATCTTCATCTGTAAGCAAATTGTCCAACACCCACTGTCATATAGGAGAGTAGATATTACAGAGCACATTTTTCTATCGAAATTTTCCTGTTTCTTAATACTTTGTTTGATTTCTGGAAAGCATCTTTCGTAAATTCCAATACGCCTTCAGATTTCGATGTCACATATTTCGTTGTCTATTACGGCAATTAATTTATGTAGCTGTTTGATTCTGATGTCTCCAATTCGTGTCTCGCATCTTGTGTTGTCTCCCTCTTTATAATTACCACACACTCTGTCTTCTCAACATCATTTACTACCTTATCTACGCATTCTTAGAGTTTCTTTTCTGAGTCTGCTTTTCTTATATTGTTAAAATTGCGTCCGGCGATAATAAATCCTGTAGGTCTTTTAGTTCTCATAGAATTGCTTCGATGCAAAATGTTGAATCACTGAATACTGAGGAGACTTGCTACCACTTAATTTCCACTGTAAGCCACCAGTTACTACTTGAGTGAAAACTCAATAAATGAAAAACAACAACGAAAACAACAACAATAATAATTATGGCAAATAGGGATTTGACTTGTTTAAGCATTCTAGATGTTTTCACTTTTCATTGTTGCTATTGTAATTATTGGCAGTTTTTCTTTTATTAAGTTTTTTTGATGGCGCGTGCATAACGTTCCTGCCGGGGAAGTGGGTGTCATCGTCGCATCAAAACGCCAAATGCCTTCCCCAGGCCAACCGTAATCATATCAGACCCAGCCCAGCCTCTTTGTACTTTTCTTCGGTCCCTCAAATGTTCACTATTGGGGCTCTTAAATAGCCTATACATGCTAATCAGATACAGTAATTTCGTAAAGTTGTTTCCCGCTTAGAATAAGATTGGCATCTGCATGAACGGACCGGCTATTGTGATTAGTTTAAAGCTTGTCTCATGGTTTTATATAGATGACGTCTTCGTTAAACCAACATCCAACCACGTCTGCAGCCTCCAACAAGCAGACATAACGCCTGAAACGTGTGATATCCCCAAAACAGATGGCATTTAATTATCACCCGTTCTTTTTCAATTCAACATATTTTTGATCTTGTTTTTTTTGTCTATATTTGCGTTGATCTGTTTTGGTGCGTAAATAAATATGGAAGATAATTCAAATGACAATTTCACTCAAGCGTTTGGGAAACTTCGAGGTTTTGGATTACACTGAAAATGTGAGGCTTACGGCCATATCAGGTTCAAACACCGGTTCCCGTACAATCACCGAAGTTAAGTAACATCGAACCTAGTCAGTAACTAGATGAGTGACCGCTCGGGAATACCAGAGGATGTATGTTTGGGTGTGCGGATGGTGCCATGAATAATGGTTCGGAATTGTTAATCGGAGAGCCGAGTTCTAAGTAACGTTGGGTCCGTTGTATTCACTTAGGGGCAAATACCCTTGGGAAAGATATGAATCCACCTCTTAATTAGTAAGACTTAATATCAGTAAATCATTATTATCCCCAAAAATAAAATTCTTACAATCTAAAAAATATTTTCTGGCTTTAAATAAGCTGAAAAGTGTTTATAAACCGTAAAAAACGAATCAATCAATCAAAATGCGGTTTGATAATGTTTCACTGACAAGAGAAACTGACTTGATATCCCAAATCTGATATTCCAAATCTGTTAATATAAATCTGATATTCCAAATATGTTATTCCAAATCTGATAATCCAAATCTGATATTCCCAATCTGATAATCCAAATCTGATATCCCAAATCTGTTATTCCAGATCTGATATTCCAAATCTGATATTCCCAATCTGATATTCAAAATCTGATATCCCAAATCTGTTATTCCAGATCTGATATTCCAAATCTGATATTCCCAATCTGATATTCAAAATCTGTTATTTCAAATCTGATATTCCAAATCTGTTATTCCAGATCTGATATTCCAAATCTGTTATTCCAGATCTGATATTCCAAATCTGATATTCCAAATCTGATATTCCCAATCTGTTATTCCAAATCTGATATTTCAAATCCTGAAACATGTTACACTGACGAGATATATTTTTATTTAATTATCTTTCTTCATAAGTTATACATTTTAGGAATGAAGAAAAAAAAAGTTAGATTTTTCTTTGAATATTGATTTATTCTTTTATGTGCCGTGTCCCTTTGGGTCATAGGCGATCGCAGCTCTCCACAATTCCCTGTCCTTTGTAGCTTTTAGTAAATTTTATCTTTTCGTTATCTTTCCTAATCCCTGTTCTGTCAACCATTTAGACAAATTCATTATTTGGTTATTCACTGCTCTCCCGGCGTCCCTTTTGCCTTTAATCCATCCTGTGGGTATCTCATTTTCTAAGCCCCTTTTCCTCATTATGTGTTCTAGGAATTTTATCTAGGAATATATCTTTTTATGTTGAGTATACGTTTCATTTTGTTTCCATTTTCGCTAAAACTTCTTCGTTACTTACATATTTAGTCCATGGTATTCTCAGCATCCTTCTGTAGAACCACATTTCAGTTGCTTCAAGTCTCTTCTTCATCTCCAAGTAGGAAGACCGATATGACATAAAAGTTCTCTTTTCTTTGTTTCTAACGCGAGTTTCCTGTTTCTTAATATTTTACTTAGTTTTTAGAAGGCAGCCGTCGCTATCCCAAATACGACTTCAGGTCTCGGTGTCATATTTTCTGGTGTCTTCAGTTAAAATATTTCTTAGATATTTAAATTTTTGACTTGCTTCACCAATTTGTAATTGCCATGTTGGTCTCTTCTTTTTCCTGACAACTATACATTCTTTTACAAATGATATTTAGTCTTTCTTCTCGCTTTTCTTTTTACTACCTTCTGTAGGGGTTCCTGTATTTTCCTTACTGTCTGCTCTCAACACCGTGTCATCTGCATATCGAATATTGTTAAGATTCTGGCCGCTAATAATGAATCCTGGTAGGACTTCTAATTCTCTCAGAATCGCCTCACTGTAAACTTTGAATAAATCTGGCGAGAAGTTCTATCCTTGTCTTATGTCCCTTTCTATTTTTGTATATTTACTGAATTCATTTTCTATCCGTATGCTGGCGATTTGCTCCTAGTAGAGATTCTGGATTATTCTAATGTCCTTTTCTAAATATATCATGGTTTACCTAACAGTTCCACGAGTTCTTTGTGATATACTTTATTAAACATCCTTGCATAATCTATGAAACATAGGTATATATATATATATCCTTTTCCATTAGTCGATCAAAATATGAATGGTTAATCTTTCGAAAACAACGTACGTTAGTCAATTCCATTAACACTTGATCCTATTGGAATTGTTACTCGTGAATATACATTTATTTAAAAATCGACATTAAATAAACAGCATTAAAAACAAAACAAAATGCTGCTATACTAGGGAACGCTTAAAATCTCTTAGCCTAACCAACTTCACTAAGAGTATACATTTTTTAATTACTTTTTCTCCAGATCAATAATCTTTTCTTTACTCCCTTCTAGTTATGATATTGAACTAGCATTCTTATTTCGATTGTTCTACAATTTGACCTTCAGTTGTCTATCTTCATATTTGGTAACAGAACTGAGTCCTTTATTCAATCTATGGGGATATATTGTTCTCAGTCTACGTTCCATGTTTATGGAATTTTTCCTTAATTCTCACCAGTCTTATTCACCTTTTTAGTGCTTGACCATTTCTTTCACTTAACTCCAGTACGTGACTTTTCAGCACTATCAAACCCAGGGATTGAAACTGTCAGGGAACTAAATACTTTCTAATCAAAGCACATGAGACTCATAACCTGTTATAGGGTATAACGGTTGAAACATTGTGAGTATAACAACCATGATATGCATACAGGTCTCAAGCATATAATAAAAATCTCTCATCAACAAAAAATTCGACATGAATTTCATCTTAGTTTTTTGCTAATGAACAGAGAAATAACTCTTCTGTTATCTGCTATTTGTTAATCTATCGATATGTTGAAATCTGGAAATCTGATCAACGAGACAACCTCAGACAGAACTTCTTTCGAGCTACTGTAGAGGCGGTTTTAATGTATGCTGCCACTGCTTGGACAATAAACTAAAACCTTGTGTTTAAGCTTGATGGAACTTACAATCGGATGCTGAAAGCTATACTTAACATCTCTAACAGGCAACATCCACCTAAATAACAGCAGATCTTTGGAAATATGCCTGATATTTTTACAATCTTGTTTGAATGCAGAATGTGTTTTGCAGGACACCGCTGGCGAGCAAAACAAGATCTTGAGAGTAATCTACCGCTCTGGACAGTAGCCATGGCGCAAGACGGGTTGGTCGCCCAGCAACCACATACATTGATCAAATATATAGAGAAACAGGATGTCACCCTAATGACCTTTCGACCTTGTTGCAGTGATGGATAGCTTGATGGATTCATGAATGTCCCAGCTAGCTCGTTAGAATAAATGATATGATGGAGAAGCTCAATTGAATAAAGTTGATAACTGATTTTGCTATACATCAAAGCAGAGCAATTGTTTTACTTTTCTGTTATGCTTACTCTTCTTTATTGAAATGAATTTGTTAGAAGGTCCTTATTTGTTCATAAGATATCCTATTTAAAGAATACAATCTACTTTACATACATAATCATGAAGAAATATATCGATAGATATTTATGATAAAATTAATGATTTAGTGAAATGAGCTTTTATGGGCAACAATGTTTCTTTCTCTTCATTCTTTGAACCATTTCCTTCTTCATTTTCCCGTCTGGAGTCAACAATGATATCTTCTCTAGTTTGACGCGTTTCCTCGGAAGTGTTTTTCCAAGTGCCACGTGTCAAGGCACGCGACTGTCAAAGTCTCTTGTTCACTCCCTCCCACCTCTCTCGGCATGGGGGTTAACGATAATTCGAAGAGGGACAAAACCTTAGTGACAGGGAAAACGAAGAGATAAATCGAAAGGAAAGAAGAGCCAAAACGAAAAACTATCATGGACTGCACCGAAATAATATTATGATGATTAGGATGATGATGATGATTTAGAAGATAATGATGACAATTAGGATGATGATGATGATTAGGATGTTGATGATGATTAGGAGGATTATGTTGATCACATAAGCAACTCATGATCTTTATGATACTAATTTTTAATAGACATGATGATTATGGCGATGATAACTGAGATTTTAAAAAATCATGATTATCAAAGTGATGATGATGATGATGATGATGATGATGATGATGATGATGATGATGATAAAAGAAAACAACAAATAAAAAATATCACCAATTGAATTTTGGAAACAACGTAAAAATTTTTGATTAATCGATATAAATTCTAATGATGATTGTATCATTGTACCAGATTGGTGAGGTTTGTTTATCAGTTTTATGATAGAAGGAAATCCACAACTAAAACAAGAAATAAAATTTAGTTGTCAACCATAGCAACAGTCATAATAATATTAGGTTGAATCAAAAGTAGTTACGTTTTTTTACAGACCTTTACTCCAAAGCTTATTTCAGCTCTAAATCTGTGATTACACTAAGTTCTTCTTCTTCTTCTTCTTCTTCTTCTTCTTCTTATTATTATTATTATTATTATTATTATTATTATTATTATTATTATTATTCAGCGAGGAATTTTCTTTCAGAAAGATGTATTGAGATTTTGTGATTTTCGCGACATTATTTTGAACTTAGCCTCTAAGTCGTGGATGCTACTCGCAAAATTCAGAAGTGGAAGGAAATGAAACAATATAGGAGAGTACTGGTCAAAACTGATTTAAATGTTCCAAGACTAGCGACGTGTTCCTTAAAATGAAGCCCTAAGGTGGATGGCCATTAATTATTATTTTTTTTTAATGCAAACTGGAGGATAACCCAACAAGCAGCCCTCGAAAACTTTTTGAAGAGCTCGGATCATTGAAAGACATATGTCGAGAATTACATAAGCTTAAAAAACACAGTATCTCTCAAGAATTTCAAAAACGAAAATAATGTTGATGCAAAACAACAAGAACAACAACAATAATAATAATGCCAATAATAATAATAATAATAATAATAATAATAAACCACAAACAAAATCGGTGCCTCCTTATTGATATGGCAGTCCCTGCCGACTGCAATGTATCTTTGAAGATATTCAAAAAGTTGTCAAAGTACAAGGACCTTGAAATAGAAATCGCGAAAATGTGGCATATGGGAACATCAACAATCCCTGTTGTAGTTGGAGCTCTAGGACTGGTTGGAAAAGATTCCAGTAGACTAATTGAAGGGATTCTTGGAAGTCCATGCCTCAAGGAGATACAGAAAATTGTTCTGACAAGTACA